AATATTTATTCAGTCAAAAGAATTAATTATGAGTTGGCCTTCAAGTGTAATTTCTTCCAACTGGGGAACCACAACTGCTATGGCGGCAAACGGCGAAAACTTTGTCGTATTCGGAGACAACACCTGGGAAGTTAAACCAAATGGCGATTACACTCAAATTAAATCAGATTGGCCAAAGACTGTAGCAGCAACTACTAATGGCAACTTCATTTACGCTATTCGTCCTGAAGGATACATTTACAATATTAGAACCACGTCTTACACCGATGTTTTCAAATGAGAAGAAGCAGGCAATGGATGAGGGAATGCAAAAGCAATGTTTGCTTACAATGACAATATTTACGTTGTCCTTGGTGCTATCTGGGAAATTCGTCTTGACGGCACTTCTCAAATCGTTCAGAATGATGGCTGGGGAATACACGATCTGTCACGGTAATTGGCGATTATGCGTATTCGGTCCATGATAGTGGAAATATCTATGAGATTAATTTGAAAGATTGGACCTACAAAGGTCTTAGTAGCGGATGGGTAAACACATTCCAATTACTTACATTAGATAATAAGTTGTTTGTTTATGACGTATTTCTTACAATAGTTTATACAAAAACTGGTGAGAAAACTGTTGTGCATCAAGATAATTGGAATACGAGATTAGCTGGTTGTGCCACTGCTGATGCAATGTATACAGTTTTTAATAGTGGGAATCTTTGGAAAGTCACGAAATCTTAAATTATATATGCAAATGTCTCCTTTTATTATTATTATTATTATTATTATTATATGTTTGTTGAATTAAATGATTATTAGCAATTCCATATGCAATTATTATGAATCTTAATAAAATGATGTATTATTGAAGAAATGTTATGAAATCGTTTGGTAAATACCCTTTCTCGCGTATTATTTTACAAAAATATAATAACGATTTTCGAATTTTTTAAATGTGTGTGTATTTTACAAATGATATTAATATTTATTTTAAATTATAGTTGCTTTAGTATTCTACTAACATATCTATAATCATGAATCTGTTTTCACTCCGAAGTTTTTTGAACAAGGGGGCGTAATCTAATAAAAATGAATTTGGATTTAGTAGAGTATAATCTCGCCAAATCTGCTATAAATCATTAAAATTGCTATAAATTGCTATAATGCTGAAATCGGATGATGTTGAAATTTTGACATTAACATTTGTATGAATATTTGTATTAATGTTGGTATTTAATGTTGGTATTAATGTTGGTGTTAATGTTGGTACCGGTATTTATGTTTGTATTCATGTTTGAATATTAATGGATTGGATTTACCTGTATAAAACTAATATATTGTACTGGTTTTTTTTTTTTTAATCTTCAAAGGTGATATTGTACTAGTTTTGGTAGATCTTTTAAATACAATTATTTAGTAATTTTAATAATTAATTATAATTTTAAATATGTAGCTTATTATGATTTATTAAATATTGGGCATTATATAAAAAAAAGTGGGTAGTTTGAAGAATCGTGAACCCATTTATATCACATTTATATAATCCCTTAATGTATATAATTTATCACCTCTATATAATCACTTATAATACTGTATTCCTCCGAAAATAAGCACCCTTTTTTGCTATAAGGTTGCTTATTTTTGGGTATAATCTCATCTAATAATTGGAATGATTTGATATTTCGTTGCTTATTTCTATTATATAAAAGGTGCTTATTTTCGGGTATATATGAATTGTAGAGGGTGATTATTTTTGGAAGATGCTTATTTTCGGAGGAATATGATATATAAATATTATATTATTATGTGGATATGTGTTATATATATATATATAACACAAATGTAGACATTACATAATAGTTTTTTAACTAAAAATACTACAATTATAAATGTTTAGTTATTCATAAATATCGGAGACATAGCAGTTAGGGTAAGGGTGTCCTCTAATAAATATCTGAGGCCTAGCAGTTAGGGTAAGGGTGTCCTCTAATAAATATTTGTGCACTTATTGGTGTTAATATAATGGAGCAAAGCGGAGCTGACAGGCATAGCGAAGCAATCAAGAAATTTGTAAAAAGTCTGTTCAGGTTGATAGTTTCCTGCTGCTATATTTAATTTAAACATTCAATAATGCATCATTATCAGTTGCATATTTAAGTTAGTACGTATGTATATACATTGCAGCAAAGGTTTGTACTATATTTGCTAAACGTGATTATATAAAATGTGATATAAATGGGTTCATGATTGTTCAAGTGAACCTAATTATCAATTTTTTGTATATAAAAAAAATTAAGTTTTTAAATTTTTTAGATTTTTTATAAGTTTTTAAAACATATTAGAACTAGTACAAAATAGTAAATTCAAACTATTAACATTAGTATTAATGTTTGTATAAATGTTGGTAGTATTATCATGAATATGTAGGTTGATATTAATATTGGTATTAATATTTGTAAGAATATTAATATTGGTATTAATATTTGTAAGAATATTAATATTGGTATTAATATTTGTAAGAATATTAATATTGGTATTAATATTTGTAAGAATATTAATATTAGTATTAATATTTGTAAGAATATTAATATTAATCTTAGTATAAATGTTGATATTAACATTAATAAAAAACTATAATGTATAATCATTGTAATAAAAAGATTGTAATATATAACACTTGTAATAAAAAAAAAGTATATAATAAAATTATATAATGCTGTAAAAAAAAGAATTGTAAAAGTTTTTTTTATAAAAAATTTTAAAAAAACTTTAAACAACTGTTCTTTTTTACAAGATTTTTTCAATCTTTGAATAAAGATGCCTCAATACTATCTAAATGAATCAATAAATTTTTTTTATAGGAATTTTTATATCTATAAAATTTAAATAAAAATTCTTTTTTAGATTTGTCTAGATGGTTGTTGAGATATCATCGAAATTTAAAAACTTTGTTATTTAATTAATAAGAATCAGCCTCCAGATTCGGACTAGAAGTGATCTGCAGTGATCACAACACAGGATTTCTTAACATATAGGCACCCTTTTGAATTTCTCTCTCTCTCTTAGTAAAAAAATTTTTTGGGATATACATATATGATCTTAACAGAAGAGCTAATGCTGGGCAGAATTAAGATTAGAATTTGTAAGTGTCTGAAAAATGAACAAACATAAAAGACAAGCAAGTCAGATCAATAATTTCTAATTGAAAAAAAATTTTAATAAAATTTACTATTTAAAAAGGAATATAATGTAAACCACCAAATTAAGTTGGTCTCGCCTTATATTGTTACTAGTATAAAACCCGTTGTGTTGCTCCGAATCTAAGTACCTTTATATATTATAGCTTACACTATATAGAAAAATTTATCTGAATACTTAATTTTTAAGAATATCACTGTAATAAAATATGATAAATAACTAATCATATTACTAAACTAAACTATTCATATATGTTATTAGCTAAATTAATATATGTACTCTGTATAAGTTTCAATAATTCTTAGTTATTTTTCATATTGTTTAATATGATAATATAAAGCTTGACAAAAAATAGTATTGTTAGTAAGTGTGCACTGTATAGTAAAAATGTTTTAGTTTCTCTATATAGTGCTAATATATTAATTTTTTATTGCAGTATTATACAATACATGCTGTAATGCAATTCGACATGTATGAATGTATGTGTAATGTGATAATCAACATGTGATTTTATTTACACATGTATCAGCCAATTAAATGTTATTTTTGTATCCTATTGTTTATCTCATAGTGTTTGTCTCTTAGTTGTTTATCTATTCGTAGCAAATTATATAAAAGATTATTGCTTTATTTACAGATAAGAATTCTATGTATAAGATTGTTCATTAAAAAAAAAACAACTCATTTTCTCAGATTATACCCTTTTATATATTTTTGGGTTTCCAGGTATACATTAGCTATTATCTTGTTTTCGTTGGGAATAAACAAGCAACTCAACATAATTATGACGAAAAATGAAATAATAAAAGATAGTGTGACCGTTGATGGGAGAGCTCAATAAAATAATATGGATGAAGGCCAATTTAACTCCAACGGTGTATGGGAGATAAACTTAGAGAAGCGAAGAGTGTCTTTTATAACTGTCAGAGATCTATTGAGACAATATGATACTATGAAACGAAGGCTTTAATATTAATAAGATGATAATTAGGTGATGCAACTATAAGTGATACTGTTAAGGATATCTCAATAAGGATGATAAGGTAAAAATGGATGAGGATCAAGTGATATCAGCGATAACTTTAAGGGTACGTGAGAGATTAACCAAGTTTAGTAACCGATCGCAGGTTTCGTTTCTACCGCAATTCTCACAAGTTATTATCGTGAATGACAATATCTAATTCTACAAACGTTTTAGAATCTGAGTCTTACAGCTGATTTCAAAATTAGTGCGACACGTGATGAATTTTGTGATGATCATCAGTGAATTTTCGGTAATTATATTTACCGAAAATTGTTTGCGATTGTCG